CACACACACTCACACACACACACTCAGACACTCACACACACACACACACACTCACACTCACACTCACACACTCACACTCACACTCACACACTCACACACTCACACACTCACACACTCACACACACACACTCACACACACACACACTCACACACTCACACTCACACTCACACACTCACACACTCACACACACACACTCACACACTCACACACACACACACACACACACTCTCTCACACACACTCACACACTCACACACACACACTCACACACTCACACACACACACACTCACACACTCACACACTCACACACTCAGTGCAGAGGCAGGCTGTCCGGTCCAGCCCGCTGCCGTTGGATGGCCGCGGGTGAGTGGCCGCGGCTGTGGCTCCGGCTCTTCGTTAGCCGGGCCGCGCCAGGCGGTGAAGCTGACGGAGCCGGAGCCCTGGCACCGGCGCCTGCTCCTGCCGTCAGCAGCGGCTCCGTGCCAGGAGCAGCTCTGCCTTTCAGTACAAGTACGGAAAGGCCTCTCTCCAGCTCTCCTCTTCCTGTGAGTGGGCCCGCACGGTGGCCCGGAGCCGGGCGAGCACAGGCGGGGGCAGCGCCTGGCCTCGCTCGCTGCACTGGGAGCTGGGTGTGCAGCGGACGTTAGTGCTCGGCCAGCGCCTCCCAGGACGACGGCCTGGACGAGGCGTGAGCTGCGAGAGGACACGGGTGGGACCGTGCGCTGGCGCACACGCCTGCGTCGCTTCTCCTGCCCTGAAGCCCACGGGGCCACCCCGAAAGGGCAGAGAGTCGGGTGCTGAGCCACCCCACAGGCAGATCAGCAGGCGCTCACAGGCTGATGGCCCAGGATGCCCCTCGCGGCTTTTTCTCGAACAGGAGCCCTGACTGTCTAACAGGAACATCACAGGCCCTGGAGTGCTGACCCACATCGATCGTGCTGGTGGACAGGCCCGCCGGCTCAGGCGGCTCCCGCGCGGCCAGGCGGGCTAAGGAGCCGGTGTGGCAGCCTGTGCCTCGCACCCACCCTCCCGTGTCCCCCCTCTGAAGGAAGAGCCCTCAGGCACCCCGGAGCACAGCGCACTGGGACCCTGAGGCGCGTCACCGAGACCCCGCCCTGCCCAGCGGGAAGGGCAGTGGCCCTGGGTTTACTGCTGTTTCTGCTGGCGGCACAGGTCCCCAGGGCACTCTGTGCCTGCTTTGGAGTGGCTGGATAGAGCCCAGACTCTCACCTGCTTGGCACCACCCGCCCTCCCGGTGCCCCTGTCTGAGCCTGGGCTCCCGTTTCCCCGAGAGCCGGTCTGTTTGCTGGCAGCAGTGGCCGGGCCTCAGGAGCTCTCAGACCCGGCTGCCTCGTGCGTGAGGATGTGCTGGGTTGGCTGACTCTGTGCTAGTTAACGGTTAACCTGTCTCATCTGAACATCTGCCATGTTCACAACCAGCCTCTCGTGTTTGGACAAAGAACATGAAAGGGACGAGGAAGTACTGGTCCCACAGAAAGCGCTGAGGGGGCTCCTGGCTCCAAAGAAAGAAATTACTTGCCACGAAGGCCGGGGCACCCCACTGGCCTCTGCCTTCCGGTGCTCCATGTCGGGAGTTTTTACAAATCGTGGGGTGTGCAGGCTGGCCTCGGTGGGGATGACGGGGCACAAGGCGCGGGCCAGGGCTGCTCCCTCTGCAGCCGCTCCTACTCCGGGACCAGGCGGCCGGGAGGGCACGGCGCAGAGGCCCCACCGGGCTCAGCCCAGCAGCGTGTTTCATGCTCACAGGTGCATCTCTGAGCTCCCCACCGGTGACAGCCTCACTGTGACCTTGCAGCCTGGCTGGACAGAATGGCTTCCAACTGGGCCCCAGTCCTCCTTCTGGGCCCCTGTCCTCTGCCTGGGCCCCGTGTCCTCTGTCTGGGCCCCGTGTCCTCTGTCTGTGCCCCGTGTCCTCTGTCTGGGCCCCGTGTCCTCTGTCTGGGCCCCTGTCCTCTGTCTGGGCCCCTGTCCTCTGTCCGGGCCCCGTACCCTCTGCCTGGACCCCGTGTCCTCCTTCTGGGCCCCTGTCCTCTGCCTGGGCCCCCTGTCCTCCTTCTGGGCCCCGTGTCCTCTGCCTGGGCCCCTGTCCTCTGTCTGGGCCCCTGTCCTCTGTCTGGGCCCCTGTCCTCTGTCTGGGCCCCTGTCCTCTGCCTGGGCCCCGTCGTCCTCTGTCTGGGCCCCGTGTCCTCTGCCCGGGCCCCGTGTCCTCCTTCTGGGCCCCGTGTCCTCTGCCTGGGCCCCGTGTCCTCTGTCTGGGCCCCGTGTCCTCTGTCTGGGCCCCGTACCCTCTGTCTGGGCCCCGTGTACTCTGCCTGGGCCCCTGTCCTCAGCCTGGGCCCCTGTCCTCAGCCTGGGCCCCTGTCCTCAGCCTGGGCTCCGTGTCCTCCTTCTGGGCCCCCTGTCCTCTGTCTGGGCCCCGTGTCCTCCTTCTGGGCCCCCTGTCCTCTGTCTGGGCCCCGTGTCCTCCTTCTGGGCCCCCTGTCCTCTGTCTGGGCCCCTGTCCTCTGTCTGGGCCCCTGTCCTCTGCCCGGGCCCCGTGTCCTCTGTCTGGGCCCCGTGTCCTCCTTCTGGGCCCCCTGTCCTCTGCCTGGGCCCCTGTCCTCTGTCTGGGCCCCGTGTCCTCTGCCTGGGCCCCTGTCCTCTGTCTGGGCCCCGTGTCCTCCTTCTGGGCCCCCTGTCCTCTGTCTGGGCCCCTGTCCTCTGTCTGGGCCCCTGTCCTCTGCCCGGGCCCTGTGTCCTCTGTCTGGGCCCCATGTCCTCTGTCTGGGCCCCTGTCCTCTGTCTGGGCTCCGTGTCATCTGTCTGGGCCCCGTACCCTCTGTCTGGGCCCCGTGTCCTCTGTCCGGGCCCCGTGTCCTCCTTCTGGGCCCCCTGTCCTCTGTCTGGCCCCCGTGTCCTCCTTCTGGGCCCCCTGTCCTCTGTCTGGGCCCCTGTCCTCTGTCTGGGCCCCTGTCCTCTGCCCGGGCCCTGTGTCCTCTGTCTGGGCCCCATGTCCTCTGTCTGGGCCCCGTGTCCTCTGCCTGGGCCCCGTGTCCTCTGCCTGGGCCCCTGTCCTCTGTCTGGGCCCCTGTCCTCTGTCTGGGCCCCTGTCCTCTGTCTGGGCCCCTGTCCTCTGCCTGGGCCCCTGTCCTCTGCCTGGGCCCCTGTCCTCTGTCTGGGCCCCGTGTCCTCTGTCTGGGCCCCTGTCCTCTGTCTGGGCTCCGTGTCCTCTGTCTGGGCCCCGTGTCCTCCTTCTGGGCCCCGTGTCCTCTGTCTGGGCCCCTGTCCTCAGCCTGGGCCCCTGTCCTCTGTCTGGGCCCCTGTCCTCTGCCTGGGCCCCTGTCCTCTGCCCGGGCCCCGTGTCCTCTGTCTGGGCCCCTGTCCTCTGTCTGGGCCCCTGTCCTCTGTCTGGGCCCCGTGTCCTCTGCCTGGGCCCCGTGTCCTCTGTCTGGGCCCCTGTCCTCTGTCTGGGCCCCGTGTCCTCTGCCCGGGCCCCTGTCCTCTGCCTGGGCCCCGTGTCCTCTGCCCGGGCCCCTGTCCTCTGTCTGGGCCCCTGTCCTCTGTCTGGGCCCCCTGTCCTCTGTCTGGGCCCCTGTCCTCCGCCTGCGCCCCATGTCTTCTGCCTGGGCCCTGCACTAGCCTGGACCTGTCTCTCAGAAGCACCAGGTTCCAGCGGGACTGGGCAGACCTGCCAGCTCCTCCCACCTTTGGCCCTGAGCATGAGAATGTCCATCTGTCAGAAAACAAACAGGTGAAAGGGGCAGCGAAGGCTGATGCCTAGGCTGTGTGCAGTGCACAATATTAAAGAAAAAGTGTGTTAAAGGAACAACGTTAGCAAAATAGTGTCTCACTCTAGTCATTGAAGTAAAGCAGCTCATCCATCTTTTTTCTGAGTCTAGTCCTTAGCCAGGTGTCAGACTTGCTGAGATGAACCAGTGCCCTGGGCCCCAAGGTTGCCCCCAGGGAGTGGGAAGTGACTTTAAGGGCTGTGGCCATGCCCCTGCTGTCAGCCCCGCTCTCCCTGGGCTCGGGAAGGGACGGGCTGAGGGTTGAATATAAAATGCCATGAACCCCGGGCAGTTTGTTCTGACAGTCCCCACAGGGAGCACAGAAGTGCCCGCAGGAGGTGTGCAAACTGCCGTGTCCTTGCTGGCCTGCGCCTCTGCAGACCCAACACCAGATGGGCCACCGGCACAGGTGGGGCCCAGAGGATCAGCTGGCGGCCCTGAGACAGGGCAGTCAGCCCTCTTGCTACCATCCTTGCAGGCGCCAAGCTACACGGTGCTGATGGGCAGAACCCTGAGAGGCAGCTTTCTGACCCATGTTAACTAACACTCTTTGAGGTTCCCTGACAGGCCCTTTGCTAGTAAAACCAGTGGGACCCACTGAAGGAACAATATTTTTGTTACTTTCTAAAAGGTTCTTGATTTAAATAATGAAAAACAGAAGGTAGCATTCCAAATATTTGAGGCCCATTGTATTTAAAGTTCATATCAGCACCCGTGTCCCATGGTTGCTGTGACCAATGAATGGAAACTTGGTGCTCAGAGCAGCCTTTACCAGGTCAGCAGCCTAGGCTCAAGTCCACCCTGCCAGACCCAAAGCAGATTCCCTTATTCAACTCACTCCAGAAGTGCAGGTTTAGATCTCTTTCCCAACATTCAACATCCAATGTACTATTGTCAGAAAACCATAGATTATATTCTTTAATAATCTGTAGCAACTGTGAAAGAAGATTTTCTGACATTGCAATTCCCTTATCCTTGAGCATGTAAGCCAAAAGTACAAGAAAATCCCCTTTTGATGAATTCTGCCCCATTATGATCTTGCTGAAACAAAAGAAATTACTTGAGCACTTATGGACCCGCGGGCTTCTGCAGCTAACATGAGTTTTGCATGCAGTTAATCTCCCACCATCGATCAGGCAAATTCTTTTTCTCCAAGTCCCAGGTCCCAGTTCAAGGTGCCAAATGTGAAGCCACGGCCCAGGTGGTCTCAGGTTCAAAGACTTGGAGAAAGGGCTGACGCACAAATTAATTATACAAGACAAGAAATATAAATTTGGAAATTATGGGGGAAGCCAGTTATGATCTTGGTACAAGGGACCAAATTCCACTGAGTCTGTTCACATCTGCTTTTATTTACTAGAATACACAATTGCCTTTTAGGAATGCAAACAGACATGCCAAAGGTGATGTTTGGTAAACAGTAAGAGTATCAGGTTTGGGGAGTTTGCTTTATGCCATGGAGTCATTAGCAGTAGGTAATAAAATGCAGATATTCATCCCTGTGAATATCAAAAAGCCCCATTCAGCCTTCTGATCAGGCTTCTCACATTTATATTAATTACTGTTTATCTTGGCTCCTTGCAGGCAGACAATTAAGACACAACAGGGAGCAAGCAATAGGTTGTCAGGTAGATTCTGAGTGATGTCCTTGGGTTATAAGTCTAGCTGCAGTAAGAAAAAGAAATGCACTAGGATGCTTTGAGGTGGACACGTGTATATACTAAGACAAACTTTGGCCCTAGCCAGCGTGGCTCAGCCGATAGAGTATCTGCCCATGGACTGAAGGATCCGGGTTTGATTCCTGGTCAAGGGCACGTACCTCAGTTGCAGTTTCGCTCCCCAGGCACTGTCAGGGTGTGTTCTGCGGGCAACCAATCAATGTGTTATTCTCACCCTCTCCCCTACCCTCCCACTCCCTTTGAAAATCAGTGGAAAAACCCTCAGGTGAGGATTAGGAAAAAACCTTTTGAAGAAGACACCCAGGGGAGCCATGTTGCCTTTGCTCTGGCAGCAGTGGGCGGGGCAGAACCTTCAGGCTCAGAGCTTAAGCCCCTCCCACTGTCAGTGCTGTGACCTTGGACAATGAATACAGTGGCTGCCCTGAAACTCCTCTACACTGCAAATGCCAGTCTAGTTCAGAAATAATTGTTTTGTACATGTTTTTCTTTCCTAAAATAAAGAACTGTGTAACTCAGTGCTGATTTATAGTCTTTTTGCCATATTTTGTTGGTGGAGAAATACAGGTGGTGCATGTTCCTATCAAAATTTAAGTTGAATGAAATGTTTGCATTTCCAGCAAATCACAGACTCAAGTGCCCGGCGAGTTCCTGGCATGAGTCACCAGGCAACAGGGCTGCTAGGGAACCGGATCTGTGGAGGGTTCCCTGCTGGTGACAAGGGAATATGTGGTTCTGACTGACGGTAATATCTTACTCTTTAACCAAGTAAACAGCAACTCAGAAGTTCATGGGAAAAGGTCACAGATGTGAGCATGGCACAGGAGGGCTGGGCCACATGCCTGTGTAGGCAGCTTGTCTTATTGGGGCAGTGATGTCCAACCTTTCCATCTCATGGCCCACAAGCTCATCACTGAGGCTCTGACACCAACAAGACATTATAGTTTTTACCATTCTGACCAAATAAAGGCATAATTTTGATTCATTCACAGTAGATGGCTATTGTTCTATTGGCTGCTCTCAATTTAAAAAACATATTTTTTATTGATTTTAGAGAGGAAGGGAGAGAGATAGAGAGATATAAAAACATCAATGATAAGAATCATTGATTAGCTGCTTCTTGCACGCCCCACTATTGGGATCGAATCTGTGACCTGAGCATGTGCCCTGACCAGGAATTGAACCAACATCTGGTTCATAGGTCAACACTCAACTTCTGAGCCATGATAGCTGGGTGGCTGCTGTCATTTTTTATTTGATAATTAAGGGGGAAGAGGACAGTGCTCTGGCTGAGTGGTCAGTCCTGCCTGTGCTGACCTCCGAGGCACATGCTGGGAGCTGTGACCAGGAAGGCTTTCCCGGAGCTGCGGTGAGTGTCCTGACCCTGGTGCAGTTTGAGAGCTCAGAGAGACGCTTTGGCTGGGAGACTCAGTTTGGGTGAAGATGAAAAAGGAAACATTTTCATGTGACATCGTCCCATTCCAGTCCCATCCAGCCACAGTTTGGACACACAAGATGCTGCGTTAAATCCTGGCACTTGTTTCGAGAAAAGGGACTAATGGGTGGGTGAGCTGGTACCTCTCCTTGTTTAACAAGGACTTCTGGGAGTTTCACAGAAAAAGTATTTTCTTACTTCACTTTGATTGCTGATATTTAGGTCAGACATTCTCTTTATACTTAGTTCAGTTTATCAGAGCAGCATTAACCCCACAAGGAGCCTCCTCTTCACCATCCTCTTCCTCACCATCCTCTTCCTCACCATCCTCCTTCTTACCCTCCTCCTCCTCACCATCCTTCTCCTCACCTTCCTCCTCCTCCTCACCATTCTCTTCCTCACTGTCCTCCTCCTCCTCATCATCATCCTCACCATCCTCCTCCTCCTCCTCACCATCCTCCTCCTCATTATCATCATCCTCTCCTCACCATACTCCCCTCACCATCCTCTCCTCACCATACTCCTCCTCACTGTCCTCTTCCTAGTCTTCCTCCTTGCTGTCATTTATCAACTAGGAATGCACCCCCTCCAGGCCTGACCTCAGGGCCTTGTGTGTGGAGTGGCTTAGACTCCATGGGCTGGATATGGACCTGATGAAGAATTTGTGAAAAAGCAGTCACATGACAAGGTTGGGTCAGGATAAGAGTGGAAAGGAAGAGAGGGGATGAGGATTTTAGAATGAGATCTCAAAAAAGTTTGAAATACTCAGTATATAATTAAAAAGTAAATAAATGCATACAGGAGAAAAACTGAACTGTTCTATTCAGGAGGTTCTAATTTTAAGAATTTAGAAGGAAAGAATTGATTTACTTGGGCCTGTTGTCTTCACTAGCAGAGAGGTACAGACAGAGATCCCAGGAGGCTGGGGACCTTGAGCTTTGAAAGGTCAGAGCCACACGCCCATGGTCTAGTTGAGACAAAGGGGGCTGAATCAGCTTCCACCTTTCAGTCTCATGTATGTCCTTGCTGATGGGCTGTCACCAGCTGTTACTGGGATGGCCTGCCTCATAGGAAGTGTTTGGAGATTTGCAACTTGCTTACATGGAACGTTATCACTCGCTCCCCATAAGCCTGGTGGTCCAGGCGAGAAGAGAACTCGCTGACGCGGCGCGCAGTGCAGGGCCCTGGCCTGACTAGTAACAGGCCCTCATCCCAGTCTTCCCACGAAACAACACGAACACGGGTGCCTGGTAAGGGTCTGCAGGGAGCATTGCTGAGTTTTCACTGCCAGGCAGAGGAAGCCACCACATGTCCTCACTATTTTGATTATGAAAGTAATTCCAACCCCAGCAGCACGGGTGGCCACGCCCTCTTGAATGGCCACACCTGTCCCATCACTGCATTCCAGCCGGGGTTACCTGCACGGCTATGTGCCCCCCCCCCCCTCACCTTTCTTACTGCCAGGGGCACAAAACAGGTGGATGTAAGCATTAAAAGGACTTTAATACAAGAAAAATAAAGAGGGTGTAGGGAGTTCAGAGGGCTCTGATGTAGAGGAATGGTTGTCTGTCCTGGACACAGCCTTCCACCGGTGTGCCCGTGTGCCACTGGGTATGCGGGCAAACCCACTGACAGGACCCGTGGGGGGTGAGCACAGCGGCACCCCAGAACCCAAAAAAACCAGCCAGGCTGCTCAGAGAACAGACGTGCACACCATCAATGGAAACACGCCTTGCTTTTATCCTTACAGAATTCCTGGCTCTGTGTATCAGGGTCCTTCCCGCTGTGAGTCTAATCAGTTCCATTCCTCAGGGCACAGAGGGCCTGTGGGCACAGCAGGCCTGGGCCTGGGAGGCAGGGCTGGTCCCAGGTTGGACTCCAGCTGCAGCAGCGCCTGCCAGTCCTGCTCTCCAGAGGGGCCTCAGGGGGACATTTCGTCCCCAGACCGTGAAGCTGGGTGAGAAGTAGGAACTGCCCCCATGGGAAGGGGGGGCAGAAGGCGACAGCAGCTGAGCCTGTTGGCAGATGAAGCGGCTGAGGGCCACACTACGGCCTCATTGGTGGGCAGCCCTCGAGGGCTGTTGTTCCTTCTGTTCTGGGCACAGGCATGTTATTAACGCCTTTACCACCACCCATTCACCCTCCCCCTGCAACCATCAGTCTATTTTCTGTATCAATAAGTGTTTTCCTGTTTTGTTAGTCTCGTTTATTCACTCGATTCCACATATAAGGGAGATCATCAAGTGTGTACTCTGCCTGGCTTCTCACTCAAAGAGCCCTCCAGGCTCAGCCTGTGCCGTGAATGGTGAGGGCGCATCCTTCTCTTGCTGGGCAGCATCCCGCTGGGCCGTGTCCCTCCTCCATCAGCCACCTGCTGTGGGCACCGGCTGCACCCCACCTCAGCTGCTGTGACTGTGAGCAGAGCCATGTACTCTGCTGGGAACCAGTGTTTGGCATTTCTTTGGACATATTCCCAGAAGTGGAACTGCTGGGCCCTGTGGCAGTGCTACTTTTAACTTCTTGAAGGAACTGTGGATGATCTTTGTTGTGGAGGGAAGGCGAGTAAAGACCACTGGAGCCCAGACCAAATTAAAATTTAGGGAGCCTTTATTAGCTGGTCGGGCGACTGCTCTGCCCTTCTCCACGCAGGGAGTCCAGAGAGCAGTCCCGACCCTTTTTGCAAGACCACTTTTTAAACACATTAACCACATCCTGTTTTTGCAGAACAAGCAACACAAGACAAAACAGTTTTTCAGGATCATGCCATTGATGTCCATGTTATTTACAGGGTCATCCTGATCTTCAGAAAGCTGACAGTGTTCTGTGAAAGAAGGCCTACGTGCTAGGAAGGGGCCATGAGACCATATCTCAAGGCCTAGTCTGGTGTCAGCACTGACAACCCTATCTGGGGCATAGTCCACAGCCTCTCTGGAGTGCTCAAAAATCCCCACTCTCTAACATTCCCCACTGGTTTTATGTACATGAGTCAAATTGTTGACTCTTTTTGGTCATTGTTGGTGAGGGAGTCCATGAGGACTATAAGCTTGGTAGAGTTAATTCCCTGCTGAATAAAGTCAGTGGGCCTGTTTATAAGATAAGGGCCCGGAATGAGGGCCAGGAGTGATCTTTGGAGGGTCCAAAGAGTCCTGGACTCTCTATTTTGCCTGGGCTGACTTAAGCCAGGTGTGACGAAGCTACGTCAGGATCCCGTCGACCTTGACTGCTGTGGGGGTGGTCCTTTCCAGGTAGGAGTCAGTCCTTGTGTGGCAAATTTCTTTGCTCAAACAGAGTCACCAGGGTGGAAGGATGGACTGGATCAGAAGTTGGTATACATGCTTCTGGACTGCTTTCTGGGAAGACTGTAAAGCCTGTAAGAACTTAAGTACAGATTGGTTATGGATTTCAGCTTTTCTAGATTGGGTTTCTATGTAAGCTGGTGAGGTGGGTAGGTCAGGGTTTGGAAGAGTCACTAGAATCTGTAGAAGCCCCACTGGTTTTAGGGCAGCTTCCCAGGCTGCTTCATCTGCCGCCTCATTCCCTCTTGCATCTCTACCTTGTCTCACATAGGTAGAGATGGAAAGACATACTTACATCTGGTAGTGCTAGTTGGCCCATTGTCCTTGCTCTGCTCATATCTGTCTAACTGCCTAATATATTACCTCAAGGACCCTGGCTCTGAATTCTTTTAGGGAAAATGGATGTCGGTGGGCTCTTCTAGCTACTGCCTGCTGAGGCGGGTCAGAAGTTTCTCTCAGAGCCAAGAGATCCTTGCTGTCTGTCAGAGGGACAATGAGGCCTGGGCACAGAAGGGGGTGGGCTCGTGACCTGGCGGAGACAAACTATAACAAATGGTCTGATGGAAGGGAAAGAAAACCTTCCCGTTTTAATAACTTCTATTGAAATAGAATTTTTCTCCTCAAAATTACCCCCATGTTTATCAAAAGAGCCAAATCATGACTAATTTATCTACTGTATTTAATTTGGCCTGATTGTTTGCATAAACATAACAAGAATGGTAACTGACTACCTTTGCGGAATTTCATATTTGAATTTTATTGTGCCCTGTATGGCCAGGAAGCCAAGCCATCCAGCTGCCGCCAGGCCTGCCTACAGTATCTGCTGAGTTAGGTGAAGTCCTCACCTGTAGTGGGTCCACCCGGGCCCATGCCCTAGGCTTCAGGCCCATCTCAGCCCTCCTGCTCTTCGCGGCTCAGAGCGTGGGGGTCCCGCAGGGACACAGAGGCGCCGTATTGCTGCCCCTCTACTCTGACCAACCACCGGTGATGGCAGGGTCTGGGCCCGATGCTCCAGCACCAGCCTTTTTCAGGGCTCCCAAGCAGGATACCAGGCTTTCTCTGTGGCACTCTTATTGGCTTCGTCTTCAGAGTTCAGACAGGGCTCTTTAAAACGTGATACTCCAAAGCTTTTGCTCAATAAAACCACTATTGGAAACTCGTCCTATTGAATTTATGCAAAGAAATGTATTGTCATGATTTATTTATTAAGTATTGCCAAATTTCGGAGGAATTGTATAAGGAGAAAAATATACTGGCCTGCTTTAAGATCTGGTTTTCCTTGCCAGTCCTTTTTGTGGACTTTCCAAAGTAATATTTTCTAAATGTATTATAATAAAACAGTAACTGTTAGAATTCTTTTATTAGTCCCTCCCTAAGTACTTTGGCAGAGGCAAAATGCAAATTATTTACTCTTCCTGGCTTACTGGCCTGTATTATTGGATTTCTTTTTGACATTTCTTTTTTTTTTTTTTTAATATATTTTATTGATTTTTTACAGAGAGGAAGGGAGAGAGATAGAGAGCCAGAAACGTCGATGAGAGAGAAACATCGACCAGCCGCCTCCTGCACACCCCCGCACCGGGATTGTACCCACAACCAACGTACATTCCCCTGACCGGAATCGAACCTGGGATCTTTCAGTCCGCAGAGCCAAACCGGCTTCAGCTCTTTTTGACATTTCTTGTCTCCTTTTCTACATACACAACCTTCTATTGAAAAAACACTTCTAAATTAGCCTTTACACTTTTTTTCTATGTCCTTCAAAAATACATAACCAAGCCTCAGACTTTCTACTCAGTATTTCTTATTCTTTGAAATCTCAATCCTTTAAATAGCCAGAATTTCTTAGATTAACACTTATGACTTAGACCTTCTGTGATACAACTAAGAGTAGGTAAAAATATTTCTTTTTGAGAAACAGAGATTTTTAAAACTTAAACCAGTTGTCAGCCTTAAAGACATTATATCTTTAAGTTCCTTTTCTGAATATTCTGCCACTGCCCAAGAAGTAATAAAACGGGGCAGAGGAAGATCCACTGTGTTCTGCAAAAAACCTTGAGTTCAGATAAGCAAGAAACCAAGGATGCCAGCAGAGCGGGTTTTAGCCAGCAAAATCAACAAAAACTATCTCTCCCTGCTCTCCCCATGATGCCCTCCCTCCCCTCCCTTTTCTGCATTAACCATTTACTCTGTCCTTAGCAGGGAAATAAGGCAAGCAGTCTGAGATCCTGTATAACCAGGCTTTTACATTTAAGAATACTTTTTTTTTTCTTTCTCCAACCATTATTTTCCCTCATAGATTTTTACTCTAAGCCCCTAGACTCTTAGAGTATCTTAAATCCTCCTTCTTACTACTCTTGGTTTCTCAGACCACCTAAAAGAGATAAGAAAGCCATAAATAAAAGTTATTTGTTCTTTGGAATGTCACAAATTTATACTTTCAAATTAACCCTAGGACTTTAAAATTTCAATTTAATACAGCAGATTCACAAATCAGAGCAAACTGAAACCCTTACCTATACAAACATAGAGAGAATTTTTTATTAGCTAAGTGAGCTGATTCCCTCTGAGGGAGAACGAAAGACTCTGAGAAAAAGGCGTCTCAGCAGCTGCTAGAGACTGAGGGTCGGCCCTATCTTTAAACAAATTAAACAATAGAAAGAGATAACAGATACTCTCATGTGTGTAGCCAGACAGCACAAAGCAGATTTCACGTCACACAGACTCTCACACTTACATTTATACACCAGATAGTCTGAGTTTTTGACTTTTGGGGAGGCGATTAAGCTCTCCCACTCACTGGGATACCGGATCCAGCCGGCATCACAGGTCCTGGAGGTAGGGCTAGGAGGTTTTAAGAAAAATAAAGACAAGAGAAAGCGGGACTTCAGGAGGACTGCTAGTCCATGATGAGACTGCAGCAACTTTATTAATTGCAAGCGTTCATTTATGAGGCTTTTCTGGGCATTTCTCCAAGTGCCCCTTTCCCAGGACAAGGCCGCCCGTCAGCCCCTCAAGACATTCTTGGAAAAGATACATAGAGCAAGTGTCTGGTTAGAT